CCTGCTCGTCTCCATTGCTGCCAAAAACCTTGAATATTGCTGGAACACACTGAACAAAACATATGATGAAAATCAGTTCCGGTTATCTATATCTATACTATATTATAAAACATTTGACAAAAACTCTTAAAAATCACTTTTTATGCGTAAAGTACTGTTTATCGATACATATTACTTAAAACTCAAGATTGCAAACAAGTAGATTGTATATAAGTACAACTTATTAAAGTTTCATATATGAATTGTGTAACTAACTGCAGATAAACATAATCAAATACAGGATAAACGTCTCGTTTTAAATATAAAAAATCTAAAATATAATTAGGATAATCATTGAGTTCTAACATAATACTTAATTATTATGTTTATAAAATGTTATATTATTAAACCAAAAATAAATTATTTCGTTATTAAATTATAATTAAAATATATAAATTAAAGAAATTACATTAAAAAATGAGAACTTTTAAACAGTTGAATAGATATTAACATTGATATATTTTTTTCATATTTTTATGATATCTTCAGATTTATATTTTATTCAAAAATAAAATCATTATTGCTTTCTTAAAAACACATAAAACCGTATTATAATATCGACAGACAAATAATAAAATAGAACAATAAAATCGAGATGTGTTTCGCTGCATTGGACGAGTACTCTTCTAGTTTTGTTAAAAGAAATCATATCCGGCCCAAAATTAAGGAGTTAGCCATGATGTCTGTAACAACTTATGGGCTGTCAGTAACTTCAATCATGATTTTAAGTTGGATCTAAAGTTATTGGCAGTGGCGGATCTAGCTTGTAAAAGGTGGGGGGAAAGGCCCCCACTAAAAAATTAAAAAAAATGAATTTTCTAAGGGTAAAAGTTGTTTTTTTTTACTTTCTACCATGGTTTTCCTCCGTAATTTCTTGTTAGGCCCCCACCAACTAAAGAAAGTATCTTGAAATCAACCAAAAAACTGAAAAGTTTCTCAAAATTGATAAAAAAAAACCCTTAAAAATCCCTCGAAATAATCCAAAAAACTTCAAAAATCTCTTGGAATGGTGGAATAAGGCTAAAAACACATCGGACGGCTTTGTGGGCGTTTAAGCTACCTTAAAGGTGCCCCCACTAAACCAAAATCCTGGATCCGCCACTGGTTATTGGGTCAGTCTACTGTTTTGGTCTTTGAGGTGTTAAAATGTCATTGCCAAATTAATTTTAAAAAAAAGTAAAAACCAATTAACCTGAACCGAATAATTGAAAATGATTTAACCAGAAGGGTGGTGTCTGATTGGTTTGAACTTTCCAATCGTCAAAAATACTACGAGGTCCCAGGTTCAAATTCAAGAAGGAATAAAAATCCCCTTGTGGCCACGGAGGTTCAAATACGATAGTCTCCCTAGGATTACTCGGCTGACATAACGGATTGGATATTCAGATTAATAATTGAAACTGGTTTAACCACCCGAACAACATCCACCATAAAAACAAGTAACATATTATCAGGATTAGAAGAAAACGAAGGAAATGATCAATACCTTATCATCAATGAATTTCGCCCAAAATCGAGCAACAGCCTTCTCATAA